GTTACATGTCATGTTAATTGATTTTTTTAGTTTTAGTTTTATTTTTCTTCACTAGTTTAGTTACATTTAAAATGGAGGGCACTATATAATTTAACATAACTTTAAATGATTCAATTAATTTTGAAATAAAGCATGCGAGATTTCCGGCCAAAAAAGCTTGAGGAATCTTTTGGTTTGATTGACACATTACAAGGGAAATAAAATAGATAAATACTTGTAAGTTTGATTTTTTCCAAGTTGTAAGCAAAGAATCGAAATAAATCCGCAGACAAAGAAATAATGACTTGTCCTCATGTCACTCTTGAATTGTCTGTAACCATTTTTCCCTTCTTCAATGTTGAGTTTATTAATTTATATACATTTTTTTATAGTTCTAATAACGCTTGGTTTATTAATGGTTGCCTGCCTCGCGTCCGATTTTGTTAATGCATGTTGTTAGGGAAAAAAATCATGTGTTCTATACTTCTATAGATGTAATTTAAAAACTATATCCTCAATTTCGAAATTCCTTGTGTACTGTGAGAAAATGGAATCAAGGTCTCGTATTCACGAATCTTATAGAGATGTCAACGCCATTAACGGTAATCGATCCGAGCAATCAGACTTGTTACTCACGTACACAAAATGTTATGCCTATATGGTGTTAGTAATTTGTGTGATGTCAAGTTACTTAAAATAGTTCATATCATACGTTAATTTTAAATTTTCTAACTTTTAGATAATTGTAGATATACTAATCACATACCATACTTCCAAAAAAAGCCTATGGACGCATTAAACACGTATAGAAAAACAATCGATGATTTAACATGTTTGGAAAGAACAGAACTGTTTACGGCATGAAGAAAATCCGAACTTTTCTGAAGCCATCATCTTGGACAAGAGTTTGTGTAATCGTCTGAGATCAATACGACGTGCATGGGATCATGACTACGACGAAAGTCTTATTTCATAGTTTGGGACTCGTTAAACAACAAGATATCTAAGCTCTATGGGTTTTAATTCTTGTTTTTCCTACTTTGTTAAGTTCAAACGAGAATACAGTTAATATAAAACAATTTTTTTGTTTGAAAACAATTATACGTTGCGAAGTTATATGAAATACCTAAACAATACTATAAATACAATTCTCGATACATTTCGCTAATTAACTATGAATATATTTCGTTGCAATATTGAAATCACATTATTACGTATATTGAAACACATGAACATGAAAAATATTGATAGTATATACCATTAATCACTTTTCACTAGCCTTCTTTGTCACAAAACATGAAACTATGTACTAGAGATTACAAGATTTTCATTTCATTTGAAGAAAAAACTTCATCTGTACAAAAGAGAACAAAAACAAAAAGGGTAGAAATGATATCTTCACATTTCAAAACTCTTTCGAGCCTTTCCTTTGTTACAACAAGGAAGAAACACTATGCTCTTATTTTCACTAAAGACACCAAAAACACTCACAAATAC